GTCATCTGCTCTCAAATCATATGATCACTTCCAAAGAGGAGGCAAGAGCATGTAACCCCCTTGTATTAAACTGCTTTTGGACTTCAAGGGAAGGAGACACAGATTGGAGTAATTACTGACATAATTTATGTGTGTGCTTAGATAACAGAGTGGAGGGCAGATTGTGGGATAATTCTGGAATGTGATCCGGGCTTGAAGGAAATTGAGAATAACCAAGTCGGTGAGAATAACCGGTCTGGATGCCAGTGAGAGTGTTGGTGACCAATCTTAGGTAGGATGATCTGGAAAGGCCTCTTTAAGAGTGAACCCTTGAACTGACAGAAAAATAATAGAAAAGAATTGGCTCTGGAGAAGACTGGGGAAAAGAAGTGTATCTTCGGTCAAAAGAGTGTAAGGTTCTTTACAGAGCTTAGGAACGCGTATCTTGGAAATAGAAAAGAGCTCCAGGGCAGGTATAGCACCCTGAGTTGGAGAAATGGTCAAGTGCTGGAGTGTCTGTTCTTCAGGCCTTTTCAGGTCATGATAGTTAGAATTTTTAGTGCAATAAGAAAATGTTAAAAGATTTTGGAGCCAGGGAGATAGTTCAGTAGAATAAGCACTTGCCTGGCAAGTGCAAGGGCTTGAGTTCAATACCCAGTTGAGGGGAAAGAAAAAAAAAAGATTTTAAACAAAGAAAGTAAAATGGTGTATGTAGATTCTAAATAGTTCATCTTGACTGCTGTATGGAAATTGACTGTTAAATCCACTTGAGAAATTCACCAATTGAAGTTCACATTTAAGGCTGCCCAGTTTGAGATGTTTAAGTTAGATGCATGCATCTGGATGATTGGTTAGCAATTTCGTTCATGCTGTTTGACTTCTTAAATTTTGTTTTACTATGTAGTCTCCTTCCCCTTCCTTTTCTGTCTCCTCAGTGACTAATCATCACTCATCTCTTCCCTTTGAGCCAGAGAGGGCAGAAGCTTCTGCAGATCTGGTAGACCTAGGGAAGCTCAGCCCAGAGGAGGCCGGGAAGGCAACACGGTGGGCCACAGTCTGAGCATACCACATCACTGCTAAGAGGCAAAGTCCGGGCATACCATGGCAAGTGCCGATAGCAAGCACTGCTGTTGGAATAAAGTTAAATTCTAAAAAAAAATTAAAAAGAAAATCCTTGGTGTTAAATTAGACCTGGAGGCATTGGAATAACCTCACAATGAAAATTTTCATACTGAAATAGATGTAGCTATGCATGTACCCAGGAAAACATACCTATTTCCTAGAGCCCAGTGTACTATGAAGGCCCAGAAGCAAGCCCTCACCAGTAGAAAACATGTAGAACACAAGCCTCTTTCTTTTTTATGTTTATTTTTTTGACCAAAAATTTGTTATTTGACTAAATTCTGACTCATGCATAAGCATGACAGTCTTCCCTGTTTATTAGACTTTGGCAATTAAAAAACAAAAAAAACAACAACAGAAAAAAAACCAAGCAGCCTTGTACAGAACAGTGAAAATGCCAGGATGAGGGTAGGCTACAGTTGTACTATAGGATAAATAAATAAAATATATATATATACTGTATATAAATATACAGTACTGTAGGATAAATACTGTATATATATTGTATTGTACTGTAGGATAAATACTATATATATATATTGTATTGTACTGTAGGATAAATATATATATATATATATATATATATATATATATATATATCCCTCTCCTGTTGGCCTTACAACTCTCAGTTCCAGTAATTAAATTCAAGTTTTCAAAGTCATTTCTTTACTTCTCCAAGATCTTCAATGCTGTCATCATCCACCTCTGGCTATTTTTCCTGAATGACCTCAATGATGTCATCTGTAAAGTCCCCCTGAATGATGATTTCATCCTCCCCTGTTACTGAAGCAACACAGGAGAATTTTTGAGCAAAAAATCTTGTGCTTCTTTACAATCAATTTCAAAAGTCATGAGGCCACATACTCTTGTCACGTATTTCTTCTTTGCTCTGGGAATTTTGGCTACAGTGACCTTTTGTGGTACGGTCTTCCTTTTCTGTTTTATTGGACCCCATCCACCTCTCTTTTGTTTTTTCTTTTCTTCTTCCCCTACTGATCCTTAACTTTCACTAATTCCAGCTTCTTGTTTGGGTGAATTTTCTAAGGTGCGTTTTGCAAATTCATTTGGAAAATTCTTCTCTAACCATTGTCTCCATTTAGTAGCATCAGGCATCTATTCATAGTACTCCATAGTAAAGGACTCGAAGTGGGTAATCAGCAGCTAACTTGGCATTGTTCTTTGGGTCACCTTTGAAAGCACCCCCACTGGATTCAGAAATGTCAGCAGCCTTTTCATAAACCCAGGCGGTCACACAGTCCTCGCCACCTTTGGTCCCACCACTCCCACTAGCTTAAGCAACACATGCAACCTTCTCTTTTTTATGTTTAGTAAGCAAGCAATGAATTTTAAACAAATTTCCCTAACATTTGTTAATTTTACATATTAATAGGGCTTCATGCAGTCTTTCCATACATGTATATAGCATGCACTATTCAGACCCAATCACACTTCCCATACACTCTGCAAATGTACACTTCCAGACTGGTAGTAATCCCCATTCTTTCACATGAACCTTTCCAGCTTCTTAGTACATGAAAGAATGTGTATGCATCTTCTGTGTCTGCTATTTCACTTGAAATAATTGCCTCTAATATAATTCATTCTGTGCCAAGTGATAGGATTTCATTATTTTTAAGGCTGAATAAGACTGTTGCATTTTATTTATCCACTGATAAGCACACTGGCTCATTCTGTACCTTGTCAACTGTCACTTGTACAGTAACAAGCATGGGCAAGCATGTTTTTCTTTGTTACAATGACTTTACTTCCTTTGGAAATGTACCTGGTAGTGGGACCTATGGATGAAATGAAACATTTATTTTTAACTTTGTGAACCTCCTTTACATTGTCCTTCATAGTAACTACTAATTTATATTCCCTCAACTGTATGAGTTCTCTCTGTTCCACACCCTCTCCAACATTATTTTATAGTGGTCACTCTATCATAACAAATTTCACTTCAGATTTGATTCATATTTCCATGGTGGTCAGTAATATTTTATTTTTTCATATATTTATTTATATCCTATTAACAATTATCTATTCATGTCAATTGTCCATTTTAATTAATTAATTAATTTATTTATTTATTTTTTGTGGAACCAGGGATTGAACTCAGGCCCTTGAGCTTGCCAGGGAAGCACTTATTCTACTGAGCCATCTTCCCCATCCTTAATTGCCCATTTTAAAATTATATTCTATAAGGCTTTTTTCTCGTTTTTTCTTGGAGTTCTTTATATATTCTGGACATTAAACTGTCAGATAAATAGGTAAATATTTTCTCACCTTTTTTTGGCTAATCTCTTCACTCTGTTAATTTCCTTTGCTCTGCAGAAGCTTTTTTGATTTGGTAGATTTATCTGGAAAATCCTCGCTTATACCAAGTGATTTTTATGTCAACACAATGCTTTTCTACCTACTATATCTCTAGTGCTTCTTGAAATCAATGTGATGTGGCTAGCTTTGTTTTTTCTGCACAAGATTGCTTTGGCCATTCCATGTATTCTTGATTTCCATATCAATTTTCAGGATTATTTTTATAGTTCTGTGGTATTTTTCTGGGTATGACATTGATTCTGTAGATCATTTTAGGTAGTATGGATATTGCAACAGTATTTCTTTTTATCCAATAGGTTTTCCTTTGTTATGTTTTCTATTTTTTTCCTCATTAGTGTTTAGTAAATTTGCTTTTGTGAATTAGATTGCTTTCATAATTTCTTTCTCATCAAATATTATTGGGAATGCAGAAAAAATGATTCATGTATTGATTCTGTATAATACCATTTTGCTGAACTGATTTATCAGTTCTAATCTTTTGGTGGAGTCCTCCGGTTTTTTGTGTCTAGAATCACAACACATCTTCAGCAAACCAGGATAATTAGCCTGACCCTTTGCTGTGTGAAGTGTGTTTCATCTTCTTGCCTAATTCCTCATGCTAAAACTTCAACTCTATGTTGAATAATGGCAGTGAGTATGGATACACTTGTCTTTTTCTGATCACAGAGAAAAGGCTTTCAGTTTTCCCCCCACTTGGCATGCAGTTGGATGTAGGTTTGTTCTACTTGACCTTTATTACATTGAGTAAAGATTCTTCTATACCTAATTTCTAGGCTCTGGTCACAAAGTTAAATTTTCTCAAGTGCTTTTGGTGCAACCAGGGAGGGTAGTTTAGTTGTTATCTTTGAGTTTGTTGAGGTGATGTGTTCCATTCATTGATTTTTGTTGAATCCTCTTTGCACCCTGAGTTATGTGGTATGCGATTCTTTCTGTATGCTGTTGACTTAAATTCGATAGTATGTTGTTCATTAGTTTTGAATCTCCACTCATCAGGGATTTTTGTGTAGTTTTCCTTTTTGCTGTGTGTGTGTGTCTGGGTCCTTTTCATGTTTGAATATAAAGGTAATGTTGGCTGCATAGAGTGAATTTTAAAGAATGCCTTCTCTTTTTAATGCTGTGGAACAATGTGAGAAAAATTAGTAATAGTTCTTTTAAAGTTTGAAATATTCACTGTGAGGCCATCTAGTTCCAAGATCTTGTTTATTGGTAGACTTTTTTGGCTACTGTAATCTCATTACCTGTTACTAGTTTGTATTTTATATCTTCTTAGTTGTCTGATAGGTCACATATATAATACATAAATTTCTGTAACTCTAAGATTTCTCATTTGTTAGCATATAATTATTCAAAATATTTCCTAATGATGCTTTATATTTCCTTGGTATTAGTTGGAATGTCTTTCATAATTAATTTTGTCTCTTCTCTCATTCTTGGTTAAGATTTTCTAATTCATAATTTTTTTGTAGTCTTAGATTTTAGAGCGTATTTCGCTTATTTCTGCTGATATTTGTTGTTTCTGTTTTTCTAATGTGAGATATGGTTTTCTTTTTTCAATTCTTAAGATCCTTACCTGGCAGGGGAGATACCCACAAGGGCGGTTTTGCCAGGGCAAGGCTCATCCATTGCACACTAAATACGCTGATCCCTGTGATTTCCCCAAATGTGGGGAACTCCAATGCATAATCTGTGGTGGTGGGGCACTATGCTTGCCCTCTCCCCAAAAAAGGTAAATAAATTCTTGAAAGACGTAATCAATTTCTTTAAAGTCTAATTTTTTTTTTCTATATTTAGGACAGGATCTACAGGGTCTCACTATATAGGTCAGACTCGGAGTGATTCTCCTGTTTTCAGATTTCCAAGTGCTGGGATTACAAGCGTGTGCCACCATGGCCACCAAGCCCAGTCTCCATCACCAGGGGCGGGGCCGACACAGCACACCTGAGATCAAAGCCCAGCGGCTGTGCTCTGCCTAAACAAGCGCTTCAATCTACTGAGGTATCAGATTGACCCTAAAATCTAATTTTTGACACAGGTAGTCATTATTATAAACTTTCCCATTGGTGCTGCTTTTGATGCATTTTGTTTCTTTTTTTTTTTTTAAACTACAGGGTCTATAGGGTCTCACTACATAGATTAAACTCGTAGTGATCTGCCTGTGTTCAGTCTCCCAAGAGCTGGGATTACCATGCCCAGTTTCAATCTCCATCTCAGTGCACCCCAGGGGCGGGGCCAGCATGGCACAGCAGGGATCGAACCCAACCTCTGTGTCAGCCTAAGCAGGCGCTTTAATCTGCTGAACTATTTGGCTGGCCCTATATTTCCATTTTGATTTGTTTTGAGAATTATTTTTTCAAATTTTTGAAATCTTTTATATATTTGGTACAGGGTCTCACTATGCAGCTTGGTCTCATAGCAATCTTCCTTGTTTCAGCCTCCCCAGTGCTGGGATTACAGACGTTTGCCACCATGCCCAGTGTCCCAGGGCTGGAATGGCATGCAGTACCAGGGATCCAACCCCAGTTCTTGCACTTACCAGGCAGGTGCTTAGACCACTGAATTATCTCCCCAGCCCTGTTCTGATAATTTTTTAAAAAGTTTTTCTCCTTTTCTGAATGACTCTCTTTCACTCAAAGGTCTGCAAATCATTCCCAATGCATTTTTATAATATCTAAATTTTTTATATCAGTGAATTCTAGTATTATTTAATTGTGTTCTACAAAGATACAAATAATTTGATTTTTGAATTTTAAAAGTAGCCTAATATATGGCCCATTCTAGAAAACTATTCATGATTTTATGAAAGGAATGTGTGTTCTGTTAGCTGTTGGAGGGCGTGTTCTGAAAATGTCTAGTCAGTTCCTTTGATCTATTTGTAGTTCAAAGCTGATATTTCTTTGTTGATATATTTGGTCCGAGATGAGCTTGCTATTGCTGACAGTGGAGTGTTGAAAGTCCCCAGAATTATTGTTTTGAAACTTCTCTGTCTTTAGGTCCCATAGTGTTTGTTTCATAAAATTGGATGTTCTGACAATAGGTACATACAAATTAACTATCATTATATCCTCTGAATGAGTGGAGCCCTTGATCATTATACAGTGGTCTTCTTTGTCTAGTCTATACTCCTTAGCCTTCTTCTTCAGATGTTGTAATGGTTATTTGGCATTCCATAAATCTCCTGTATCTGAATGTCCATGTTTATTCCAAGATTAAGAAAGCTTTCTGCAGGGCTGGCCAAATAGCTCAGTAGATTAAAGTGTCTGCTTGCAGGTGCAGGAGCCAGGGGTTCAATCCCCAGCCCTGCTATACTGGCCCACCCCTGGGGCATGCTGAGATAGCAATTGAGACTGAGCGTGGTGGCCTGCATCTGTAATCCCAGCTCTTGGGAGGCTGTAAACAGGCGGATCACTATGAGTCTGATCTAGTAGTGAGACCCTGAACACCCTGTAGACCGTTCTTTAAAATACAAAAAAAAAAAAAAAAAGAAAGAAAAGAAAGAAAGAAAGAAAGAAAGAAAGAAAGAAAGAAAAGAAAGAAAGCTTCCTGCTATTATCTCGTCAAATAGGTTTTCCAGTGCTATTAACCCCTATTTCTTTGCCTTGAGACACTCCAAAGATGCAGGTATGTGTTCATTTAATGGTATCACGGAACTCCCCAATTCTACTTTTAGTTTTTCATTACCCTTTTATTCTGAATGGGATGTCTTAAAAGACCTGTCTTCAAGTTCAGGTATTCTTTTTTTCACTTGACCTATTCTTTTGTTAAGACTTTGAATTCATTTTTTATTTGACTTATTCAGATCTACCAAGATATATTTGCTTTTCTCCCAAAAAGTCTGTATCACTTTCTCAATATCTGATCTATATCCTGCCATGCCTTCTTAATTTCATAAAATCATTCATCTATATTTTCTAGATTCTCACTGAGCTGCTTTATACTTCTATGAAGTTCTTTATAATTATACTTAGTTATATTTCTTTGGGATTTGTTGTGACTTACATTCTTTGAAATCATCTTATTTTCTTTGTTAGTTTGGATTTTTGTGTGTGTGTTCCTATGTTAAGATTTGCATTTTCCTTAGCTGTGCAGAAACTTATTTGATTTGATGAAGATCCCATGTGTTGATTCTTGATGTTATTTCTCATGAAAATGGGGTTCTTGTCAAAAAATTTTTGCCTACTCTTTTAAATTCAAGACTTTTACTACTCTATTTCCCAATGCTTCTGTTTTTATAGTTATATTTTTATATTTACATCTCTGTACCATTTTTATTTCAGTTATGGTGAGAGATACGAATCTAGCTTCGATTTTCTCAATGTGCATAGTGACTTTTTCCAGCACTCCTTGCTAAAGAGGCTCTCTTTCTTCCAGTATAGCTTTCTGGCCCCTTTGGCAAAGATCAGGTGGCTGAATGTATCTGGGTTTTTTTCTGCATCCCCTATTCAGTTCCACTGATCCACATGTCAGTTTTTATGCCAGTACCATGCTACTTTTATCACTGTAATTTTGTGATATAAAAAAAAAAACAAGTTCATCGATACCTCTTATGATCAGCATTGCTTTTGCTATTCTGAGTCTTTTCTGGATCAGTATGAATTTTAGGATTCTTTTCTGTAGATCTGCAAGGAATATTGTTTGATATTTTTATTGGGATTGCATTAAATCTGTTTATCTGTTTTGAAATTATGATAATATTTGTTCTTTCTGTTTAGGAGCACCTTGTAATATTCTCTTCTATCTCTTTTTTTCAGAGTACTGTGGTTGTTATGGTAGAGGTCCTTCACTTCCTTGGGTAGGTTAATAGCTCAGTAATTTTTCTTTTTTTCTTTTTTTTTTTAAACCAGGGATTGAACTCAGGCCCTTGCGCTTGCCAGGGAAGTGCTTATTCCACTGAGCCATCTCCCCGGCCCTCAGTAATTTTTCTTGATGCTCTTGCAAATATTTTCCAAATTTTTTTCTCAGTGAGTTCATTTTTGGTATATAGGGCACTACTGATTTTTTGTTTGTTTGTTTTTGTTTTGTATGTTTGGTACTCAGCTACGTTAGTGAATTTGATTATTCTAGAAATGTTTTGGTGGAATTTTGGGGGTCTTCTATGTAAAGGATTATTTCATTTGCAAATTATTTGACTTTTTCCTTTTGTGTATGCATGCCTACTATTTCTCTCTTGCCTATTGCTCTGGATAATATTTCAAGTTCAACATGAGTAGTAATACTGGACATCATAGTCTGTTCCACATTTTGCTAGGAATGTTTTTAGCTGTTCCCCATTTAATATGATGCTGGTCATTAGTTTGTTATGAATAGCTTTTATCAAATTAGGATAAGACTTTTCTATACCCATTTTTCTTTCTTTCTTTCTTTTTTTTTTTTTCAGAACCAGGGATTGAACTCAGGCCCTTGAGCTATCTCCCCAGCCCATGTACCCACTTTTCTTATCATGCAAGTTTTTATCATGCATGGATGCTAGAATTTATGAAAATATTGTTTCCGTGTTCATTGAAATTATGACATATTTTTCTTTGTTTCTATTTAGGTGGTGTATTACATTTACTGATTTGCATATGATGAACTATATTCACATCTCTAGAATGAAACCTACTTAGTCATGGTATATGATCTTTTTGATGTGTTGCATTGTTTGCCAGTAGGTTATTGAGGACTCTTCCGGCCATGTTCATTAAAGAGATTAGCTTTTAGGTTTGTATCTACGTGGAATCTTACGTGGTTTTGGAATCTGAGTATTGCTGGCTTCTATGAATGACTTTGGAGTAGTCCTTCCCTTTCAATTTCACTGAAGAGTTTGAGAAATGCTGGTGTTATGTTCTCCCTGAAACTCTTGTAGAATTCCACAGTGATCCATCAGGTCCTGCACCTTTTCGCAGTTGGTATGTTTTGTGTTACTACCTCGATTTCATTATCTGTTGTTAGGTTGTTCAGGTTTTCTGTGTGTCTTCCTAGTTCAGTTGTGGCAATTCACATGTGAATAGAAATCTGCCATATTTTTAAGATTCTTCAATTTATTGGAGTACAGATTTTTGCTGTTACTACAAGTTATCTTCTGGATTTTGGTAGTTTCCATGATGAATTACCGTTTTTCATTTTAGTTGCATAGATATGGGTCTTTTCTTTTCTTTTGCCAAGTTTGACTACGGGATTATCTATTTTATTCTTTCAATGAAAAAGATATTCATCGATTCTTTGTATGTTTTGTTTTAATATCATTAACATATTCTCTGCTCATTATTATTTCCCCCTATACAGTAGGTTTGAATCTTCAAATTTTCTTGAGTTACATCCCCAGGTTATTTGTTTGAATTCATTCTGTGTTTTTAGTTGAACATTCACATCTATAAATTTCACTCTTTGAACAGCTTTCTTTGTGTCCTACATGTTCTGGTATGTTGTATCAGTATTAACAGTTGATTCTAGAAGTTGCTTAATTTCTTCCTTGATTTCTTCTGTGAATTATTGAATTTTGGTTGTATTATTTTATATTCTGGTATTTGTAAGATTGCTATGATTTCTTCTGTGATTGATTTCTAGCTTCATTGTGCTGTTATCTGATAGCATATGTGGATGATTTTGATTCTTTTGTATCTAGGCAGGCCTTATGGACTAGTATTTAGTCTGATGTGAGAAAAGTTCTGAGTGCTATTAAAAAGACGGTATCTGTTTTAGTAATGTAGAGCACTCTGTAGATATCTATTAAGGGCTTTGGTTC